CCAGGGGGAAGTCTTGGGGAAATGGAATATAGGAAGTCCAATTTGGCTGGAGCACATGCTGTGTAAAAATAATAGGGAGATAAGGTTGGGAAGAGAGAGGAGATCTGGGCCCGGCTGAGGAGTTTAGACGTTATTCCATGAGCAGTTGGGAGTCATTGAAAATTTCTGAATGGTTTAACGGTATGATCATAGCTGGGGTGCATATTTCTTATTAGAGTAAACTTTGATGTCAGTTTCCCATGCCCATATCCATCCTATGAACAACCATATTGGTTCTGCTTGCAGAACATATCCCAGACCCACCGTCTGCTGACCGTCTCCACGGCCACCAGCCTCACCCAAGCCACTGGAGTCTCACAACCAAGCTCTTTTAGTGGCTTCCTGCTTCCACACTTGCCCTGCCCATCTGTTCTGCACAGCAGAGTAACCTCCTACAAACACAAATAAAAACCATCACTGACCTGGTTAAAGCCCTCTGTCATCTTCTCATCACACTTGGAGTAAAATCCAAACTCCTTGCTGGGCCTTCTCTAACCTTATGTGTCTTGGCCCCGCTTCCCTCTGAACTCAGATTCTACCCTCCCTCCCCCTCCTTCACTTGGCTTTGCCACTCTAGCCTCCTTTTATTTCCTGAACTTCCAGACTCCTTCTCACCTCTGGGTATCTGCATTTGCTGGTTCATCCGCCTGGAATGTTCCTTCCCTGGATCTTCACATGGTTAGCGCTTTATCAAAGATGCCTTCCCCGACCCTTGATATAAAGTATTAGCCCCAGTCACACCCTGTAACACTCGACTGGATTCATTTTCTTCACCGCACTTCCTACTAACTGGGTGGATTTCCTTGTTGATTTGTGACTTTATTACTTGTCTCCCAACCTGCTCAACTCGATGTGAGCAGGTACCTCATTTGTTCACTGCCGTGTCCCCAGTGCCCAACAAGCCCTGGCACATTGTACACATTCATTGGATTAATTTCTCTAAGAGGTGAGTGACTGGATCAGGAAGGAGAGTGCATGGGGGTCCTGTGGGTGGGAATGATGGGGCGGAGGCAGGCACAGGTGCACCCACAGAGAACTGACAGGACTTGATGTGGTTTGAAGAGTTGAGTCATTGGAGAGGGAAGAGGTAGAAGGTTCTGAGCTTGGGTGAGCTGTGAGGACCCCAGGAGAAGTGACCAAATTTGGTGAGAAAGGAGCAATTGTAGAGGTGCCAAGACTTTGAGTGCAGGTGGGGTGGAGCTCTCCAGCAGGCGGTTGGGACGTAAGCTTATCCAGAGTTTCCTGTTCCTGAGAGGCTTTGCTGCAAAGCAGGCAGAACCATGGGCTTCAAGACACGTGGGGGGAAGCCTTCCTCCTCAACTGTGGCGTGGCTGTGACTTGTCATTGAACCCCTCTGAACCTCAGGTTCCTCATCTGTAAAGTGATCATTAAATGCCTTCTCGTGGTGGTTCTGAAAATTAAACTACAGAACATGAAAACATGGAACTAGGGCCTGACACAGGGTAGTTTCTCAGTGACTGTTAATTCCCTGTCTCCTTTCCCTCTTGTCTAAGAGGCTGAGGAGTAACTATACTTTACCCTAGTTCCGCAGCATAAATCTGTGTTGCTTTTCTTTACAAAGCAATGTGTGTGTGTGGTTTAAAAAGACAAGCAGTACCCCCAGGCTTACACTGAAAATGAGTAGTTCCCTGTCCCAACGCTCCACAGCCCCCTCGTTTTCCTCTCCCTGGAGGCTACTACTTTTAACTCTCTTAGCTATTTTTTCTCAAACTTACATCTATAATTCAATATAACATGCTTATACTACTATTTCTTGATTTTTCAATTTTAAATATTATTTGGATATCAGATTTAGATGTTATCATCTTCACTCCAGGGAAGGCAAGAACTTAATAGTTCCTTTATACTTCCAACTTCAAACCTACACTCACCCACACAGGCCTTTTCTCCTCTTAATGTATTGTATCCCTATTTTTCAGTTCATCGGTATCGCGAGTTTATATTTTTTACTCTAGCTGTTGACATCTGAGCTATGTAGTGGGCTGTGATTCTATTTCATTTCCTGTAGAAATTTTTATTTCTTCTGCAGTTAATATTTGCCTCACTTTTTTTTTATACCAATCACTCTTTCATTCTTAGTCTTCCCACAAAATCTGAAACATTTCTTCTCAATAATTTCAAATGCAACATGTATCTTGTATGTTTAATTTTTTCCCCTCCTTGGAAATACCTTTCCAGCTTCCTCTGGCTTTCTGCTGTTTTGGTCTGGGCTTTCCAAGCCTGTGTGTAGCCGTGTGTCACCCAGGAATACTTTTGTCTTGTTTTGGATCCCCTGTTTGCAGCTCTTCTTTTCTTTCTCATTATTTTTGTTGCTCCTTCATTTTGCTGAGGCACATTCATCCTACAGCTTTCTGAGAAAGAGTGCACAGGAGGTGAATTCTTTGAGACTTTGTTGAGCTTTATTCTCCTTTCACGCTTGATGGACATTTTGGCCAAGGGTAGAATTCTAGGTTGGAAATAATTTTCTCTCAGCATTTTGAAGATAATACCTCCTAATCTTCTAGTTCCCAGTGTTGCTGTTGAGAAATCCGATGCCATTATGATCCCCTTGCCTTCCCTGTGATCTTTTTTCCCCATTTGGAAATTTTTAGACCTTTCTCTCTTTCCTCAGTATTTGATATTTCATAGTGATATGTCTTCATGGCACTCTTTTTTTTTTTTCCCCATGTGTTGTGCTGTGAGGTTCATGAGCCTTTTCAGTCTGAACACTCATCCTTCAATTATTGGAATTGCTTTTTAATTATTTTTTGAAATTTCTTCCCTTTCATTTCTTTTATTTTCTCTCGTTGAAATTCCTCTTATTCAGATATTGGATCTTCTGGCCTGTTCTTCTGATTTAAAAATTTTTTTTTTCTCTCATTTCTCATTCTGTCTTTTTTGTGATTTTCTTCTTTTTTCTTCTTCTTTTTCTTTTTTTTTGGCTGCGCCATGCAGCTTACAGGGTCTTAGTTCCCCGATCAGGGATCAAAACCAGCCCTCGCAGTGAAAGCGCTGAGTCCTAACCACTGGACCACCAGGGAATCCACCTCCCCATTTTTTTTTTAATCGTTCTTCTGATCAAAGTGTTTGCCTAAGTTTTCCCTCTGTTACCTTTTTGGTTGTTTGCTTTCTGTGTTTCCTGGAGGCCTAATGGAAACAACTAGTGATCCTAGGTTGTCTAAGTACCAAGAAGCTGAACTGAAAACCTTCTGTGTATGAGTCACACTTGTCATCTGGAAGCCCTCCCCACAAGGCAAGGACACGCTATGTTTTTAGGTTCTCTCAAATAGGTCTTTACTCTTGAGCTGGTTGGGACTGAGACTGGAAATACTCTTGAGACTGGAAAGGAATTATCCAGTCTCTTGCTTGGAGGATAACAGCCTACCTTCTTGCATCCTGAGAGCCTGTGAGTGAAGGGAGCTGGTTATTTCACTGTTTAACATAAAGGCTCCCCTTTAGCCCCTGTTTTCAGCATGGAGCCTCCCGTCTGCCCTGGCCTGAGCCTGATGACCCCAAGTCTCAAGTCCCTCTGGTTCAGCATCTCTAGAGAGTAAATGTCCTGCTTTCTCTAGGGTTAGGGAGGAGTAACTTCCTCTCTAGGTAGGAATCTGGGGCTTGAGGTCAGGGGTCGGCAAACTTTTTCTATGAAGGGCCAGAGATTAGATTTTAAACTTCGTGGGCTACACTGTGGTCTCTACCACATATTCTTCTCTTCCTTCTCTTTTTCTCTCTCTTAAAAAAAGAAAATTTAACATGTGAAATAAACACTCTTCGCTTGCAGACAGCACAAAAACAGGCTGTAGAGCAGGCAGGTCATAGTTTACCGACCCCTGGTCTAGAGGATCCTTTTGGACACTCTTGACCAACCATCTTTATTCCAGGCCCACCCTGCACCCCTGCCTTCAGAAGAACTTGATGCCTCCAATTTCTGGTCCTTTATTCGGTTTTATGATAAAACTGGATGGCTTCTTACAGGTGTCCCTCGACTCCAACCAGGCTCCCCCCTCCCGCATGGAAGCTTAGGTTTCAGCTTTCCCAGGTCCACTAGGTGAGCAACTGCTTGTCCGTCTTCTTTCTGTTTTCTAAAAGGTCAGTTTTTTTCTTGTCTCTCTCTCTGTCCTTATTAGGCCATGCCTTTTTCCCCTTCCCTTTCCCCCAGTTTACTGGGATTTGAGAAAGGAGTGGAGATAAATGCATGTGTTTAATCTACTGAGTTTAACCAGAAGCTCCCCCCAAATCCAATTTGGTTGGTTTTTATTTTTATTACTTTCTTTGATAGTGCTTGGGCTCATTTTGCATTTGTTCTCCACGTGCTCACTTGCTATGCCAGATGTTCGAAGAAGATGTCCTTGGGGAGGAAAAATGAGGGGTTTTAAAAAGCAGCGTTCCTGAAATGCTCACAATGGTTTAGTTTGTGTGAGATCTCTGCGAAGCATGGTTGTTTCTAACCACCAGACTCTCATAATAGAAATAAGTTTCACCCTACTTTGTGTATCCATCAGGAGCATTTTTAAATGTCTGTAATAAAGTTTGTGGCTTATTGTTTAAAGTTGAATTTAAGGTAGTAAATCAAAGCTTTTGGTGGCATGCCTCTGACAGCAGGGAGAGCCTGGTAAGTGATCCCTAAGAGCTGATCAAAGGGAGCTGCTGAGCATTTTTTCCTGTATTTGTGTTTTGGGCCTTTAATCTGGCAGTGTTTCCAATTCCATTCTGAATACGGTCATGCACACTCCACCCCCAGTCATGTCTTCTTGGAGGCGTCTGGCACTGCCTTTGCCTGTTCGGGCACAAGCCTGCCTTTGCTATCCCGCCTGTACAAGGTACGAACAATAGCGAATGTCAGAAAGTGGGCATCTTTCAAGAGCTTATTCATACCACACGTTTGTTCCAGTAATCAAATGAAAATTGAAAGGGAAAAGAGTAAAATTAACTGAAAATGACCACTAGTCATTTCTGCCTAGGCTCACCTTTCCTGGCCAGCGAAGACGGCGTGCTCGGAGGAGTGATTGTCCTCCGATCCTGCAGATGCTCTGCAGAGCCTAACTCCTCCCCAAATAAGCAGACGCTTCTGGGTAAGTTAGACAAACACATTACGTGGGTGTCTTTCTCTTTCATTTTTTCCAAGAGATGGAAAGATTTATATCCTTAAGTCGATCATTTTAACCTACGGTTGGGCCAGGATGCTCTGTTGATACGTAAACATCTCTATTCCACTGCCCTTTTTGCCTAGGTCAACATCTACAAGGTGAATATTCATTTTGGAGTATATGCTTATAGCATATTTTTCAAATGGACTTAGCACCTAGCACCTTTACTAAAGCCCAATATTAAGACTGTCGGACCATGTATTTATCCCCTGCCTTATTTGACAGAGCGTTTGAGATGACCCATAACAATATACACAGTAACATAGAGAGAAGCTTCTTCCTGTCCCCCTCCCCAAAAGGAATCAGAACCATGTGAAGAGCTACTGGCCTAGAAGTCCACCCTGGCTCCATGACTTATTAGCTGTGATGCCTTTGCGCATCCTTCTCACTGTTCTATGCCACTTCCTCATCTGTACGATAAGGATGTCTGCCCTGCCCTTCTTATGGAAGGGTCCCATGAGTATTTTGCAGATTTGCAGATGTCCATCCAGATGTGTGATTTTGTGTCTAGCAAAGCATACCAGTGGGAATGGAGCCCAGCCCACCCTCCATTTGCCAAGGCACAAACTTGTGGGGCTGCCTCTGCCCATGGGGGTGCCTTTTTCTAATTCATCCATCCAGAGAGGCGCACTTTAAAAAATCTGCATAAAGGTGCCACGTAAGCTAGCAGGGAGCCCTATATGTTATTTTTTTTTTTAGTTGACTTTTTAATTGAAGTATACACTCAGAAAAAATTGTTAACTACAACTGCGTGGCAAATATTACAAACTGAACCCACCCATGTGACCAGCATCTAGATAAAAAATAGAACTTCACTGCAACTCTAAAAGCTCCCACATAACCCCTCCTAGTCTCTACCCCTTTCAAAGTTAACTACCATGCTGACTTCTAACACCATGATTAGTTCTATTTGATTTTATATTTTGTATAAATGGAATCATAGAATATGTATTCTTGGTGTCTAATGTCTTCAAGGAAATGTTAAACCTGTTAGATTCATCTACGTTACTTGTGACAGTAGTTTGTTCACTTTCATTGCTGTGTAGTATTACATTACGTATGGTTATAGCACTCTGTAGTTATCCATTCTTCTCTACACATTTTTTTTTTTTTTTATATAAGCACTACAAGTCATTCTCAGGGATGTGGTACTTCAGCTCTTTGTGTAAAATTCCTTTTATCAAGTATAGTTGGTACCTGGTCTGTATTGTATGATTGTTGTGCCTTGTTGTAGTACAAGTCCCTACATATCTTGAGATTTTATAAGTCTGTAAAATAAAAGACTGAGCATTTCTTATGAGAATAAAAATTATTTTTTCTATAAAAGCCTGAAGAACTTTCATAAAATCTCTCCTCTCATTTGTCAAAGAAAAAAAAACAATGCACTTTTATAGGAAATGCGTCTTTCTCCACCTGGACTCTGATCACCAACTTCATTGTTTTTCCTACTATATTTTCTTTCTGTTTCCACCCACGACACTTGGTACCCAGGTTGCTCCTGGCAAATGTTTTGTTTGTTTGTTTTTAATGGCCATTGTTTGTTAAACTGAGGCAAGCAGCCATTTGCTTCTTTGGTATCTTAATCATTGTCAAAACCTTTGAATATCTTCCACAGTTAGGTAGCAGGGAGTTTGCTTTTAAAATACGCAGAGGACGTACCTGGGCCTTCCATAAAAACTCAGAATAAGTCTTTAGTACTGGGAGGCAGGGTGGGGGACAGTTATTAAAACTGCTTCATAGACTGTTGCTAGAATAGAGTTTCTGTACTTTACTGAGCCTGGACTCTTGTCCATTCAAGTTAATCCTGAAAATTGTAAGGGTTTTTTTTGGTTGTCCTTTCAATTTTGGTGGTGTAGTATAGAAATGCATATTTTAGGATAAGTCATAGAATTTTAGCTCATATTAAATAGTTTTTATCACCAAGGTAGTAATTTGTAAACTGATCCCTACTCTCTGTCTCAAGGAGAAGAATGAAAACTGTCAATTTATGAAATAAGTGAAATCTTGCCATTTGTTAAAGTTAGCTTGAGGGACTGATGTTTGTGAAGTTTATCTACTAAAACCTGGTGAACTTAGGCTCCTATCAACTTATAGGTGCTACCGATGACGTGGGGTTTTACATATTTTGCTTTAAGAAAGTTACATATGTTCAGTGGGTGGTGAGAAAGTAAACGTGCTACAGAAAGATAGAAAGAAGATGTGAAAGTCACCTTTGCCATCCAGTTTCCAGAGCTGCCAGCATCTGATTCTGGTTATTCTCATGGGATTCACCTTCACTCTATAGAATGTGCTTATGCTTCTGTTTCTCAATCAGTAACTAGTGACTCCTTCGGGGGAAAAAATTATGAACATAGCTCATACCACTGCCCACCACCTTTCCGCATGACTTTTGTGAGAACTCTAACTTGAAATCGTATATTTATTTTATTTCATCTGTAATGCACTATTTCTTGATTCATCAGCTTTCTATCATCTCTGCCAACCATCCCTCACCCCTTGGACTATGTAAGTTTCCTTCCTCTTCCTCCCTGACTCCCAACCCTCTCCTCAATCTCTAGGAACCATGCCATTACTGTCATAGATAGTAGTATTTGCATTCGGTCCTACAGGCAGCTTGCCTTCTATGCTCTGATTAGATGTTGATCCCAAATAGTGACAATTAGTACCAGCATTGACAGTATCAAGATTATATAAATATTATTCACTGCAGGTTCCAGTAGTGGAAGATTAGACCCATCAGAAGGGAAGTAAGTGTCTGCCATAAGCCTCTGCCTGTAAAAGGAGAATGTTTCAAACATCAAGCTCAAGTGGGTTCTCCTGTGCTTTACCATGTTAATTGCACCAGATCAGGCTGCAACTTCATTTGCTTCATGTTTGGACCATGACTTCTCATTTATCACTTTATAAAACTCTCATGAAAGTATAACTTCGTAAACTCGTGGCTCCTTAATGTTTGGTAATATCTAGTAACCAGGAGGCTCAGAAATCTTTCTGTCCTACACATCCAAATAAAACAAAACAATTCCCCAAATTAAATAATAAAAAAGAACCCACACAAAACACTTAACTGCTGTATATTGTTCGATCACTTTTTTTGTCCCAAGAATAGTATAATCAAAACAAACTCTAACTTGAGCTTTTTCCGTATTCACTCTTTTCTGAAAATCATCAACAGCATTTCCATTACGCCACAAAAGCAGTTTCAATCAGACCCCATTGCTACTTGATGGAGTTTCCAGGAAGCCATTACCCAGCCTCCCCTCTTGACAAATACATCAATTACAAGGGCCCCAGTGGGCCGCTTCTAGAGTGGGATGACTCAACTACATGCCCTTTCAAGGTTTGTCCTTTGTTTACTGATTCATGAATACAGTTGGAGAATCTCAGGTAGAGAGGAACTTTCAAAGTCCTCTTGTGTGACCCCGTTATGTGTGCTCTGTCCATAAATTGTTCGAGAGAGAGATGGAGCTTAATTCCTCTCCACTTGTGACTCTCTTCCAATATGTCAGAGTGACAATGTGTGACTTCTGAGGCGAGGTCAGAAAAGGCAGTGGGCCTTCCTTCTTGCTTTCCTGGTTGGATCACTCACTTCACGAAAGACCAGCTGCCATGTCATAAGGACACTCAAGCAGCACCAGGGAAAGGCCCCTTTGGCAAAAAAACTATGACCGCCGTCCAACAGACAGCGAGGCACTGGGGCTTCCTGCCAACAGTCTGAGCTCCGAGTGAGCCTGCAGATGCCTGAGGCCCTGGGCAGATTTCTAGACTGAAATCTCATGAGATCCGAAAAAAGAACCACCCAACACAGCCACTCCTGAACTCCTCATCCACAGAAACTGAGATAATAAATGTTTATTATTTTAAACCGCTACATTTTGGGGTAATTTATGTATGCAGCAATAGATAACAAATAAACCTTCTAAATGCTTTCACTGCCAAATGGTCCTCTGGTTTGTCTAAAGAACTACAGTGACAAATCAGGAGCTCTGTTGCATCTTTAGGCAGCTCAGGCTGTCAAGACTTCCGTTTGCATCAGTGATTCCGCTTCTCTGCTTTGGGGTCCTCTTGGACAAATGTGATCGGCACCCTTTTACTTTGCAGGCCCCTAATCACTCTTTTCCAGACTGTCTCCTAAGCCTCCCCAACCTCTAGGCTCCCCACCTCTTATCTGTCTCCCACCTCCATCCTGCCACCAGACGTCTCTCCCTCTATCATACATCTGTAGTGGCCCAGAGAACCTGACCACGGGCTCAGAAACAGGGGCAGTCAGGGGAGAAGCAGGCTGCCCTGAAGCAGAAAGGGCCAAAATGAGAAACTGACCGAATTGTGGCTTAGAGAGCCACACCAACCCCAGGATCAGAGGGATGGTGGCCAAAACAAGAGACGCGGAAGTATATGTAACTAGTGTACTACAAGTTTAAGCTAAATGTTGAATAACTTTCTATGTATGCTAAAATAAAGCAAAACATGTATCTCTTACTGTCGCTCCCATGTTCCCTACTTTTAATTCTTTTTTTTGTTTTGTTTTGTTTTTTGCGGTACACGGGCCTCTCACTGTTGTGGCCTCTCTCGTTGCGGAGCACAGGCTCCAGACGCACAGGCTCAGTGGCCATGGCTCACGGGCCCAGCCGCTCTGCGGTATGTGGGATCTTCCCGGACCGGGGCACGAACCCGCCTCCCCTGCATCGGCAGGCGGACTCTCAACCACTGCGCCACCGGGGAAGCCCCCTACTTTTAATTCTTCAATGAGGAAACACACACACGGTCACACTCACTCCTACCTCCGCTGGACATTTCCCTAGAAGATAGATGGGAAATGCCCAAATCACTTGCTGGGAAAAGCCCTCCCTGATCTGGCTCCAGAACATGCTTTCAGTGTCATTTCCTACTAGTCCTCCTTTTCCTCCACTCATCTCCGATGACCT